GAAGAAGAAGTAGTATATTGTTATTTTTTTTTTAGACTTTAGAAACTCAGAAGCTGATCAAATATCGGGTTAAATATTGGTGGGGTGGCCGATGTCCGATATTCAGTTTTAAGGCCGATACCGATAGGGGGCCGATTATATCGTGCATCCCTAATTTCAATGATTGATTAATTCGATTAATTGTTTCAGTCCTAATATACATCTTCTGCAACATCCAGGAGATCTGTAGGAAACTGTCTCAATCTTGGGTCTGTTACTCCTACAAACATAAATTATGCTTCATTAGGATTATTACATTTCTCCTTTTTGCTTGATCTCTAATTAGTTTGGATATTCCAGCATAGAATCAGCAGCTTGTATGAAATAACAGAACTAATGAGTTCTCCTTATCTTTACTCACCGTTAGTGAACATTATTAGCCCTTTCAACATATTCAGAGGGATGTTTTTAATATTTAGTGCTGGGCAGGTTTATGTTCTTTCTCACCACTAGAGGGTGCTGTTGTTTAGATTCCCTTTTTTTGTTTTTACACATAGAACTATAGTTTAAAGGAGCCAAAATCAGGTATTTTACACAGAATCCTTTAGAAACAGTCTTTACATTTCTGCTTAATCTATTTTAAGATTTTTTTTTTTTTAAATAGAGCACATTAGGACCCTTTATAGCGTTGCAAACATTAGCAGCCTTTGCTCTTTTATCGTCGTATAATCTAGTAAAAAAGGTTAAACAACAACAATTACCTAGAGGTGGGGTCCTGATTGGTGGAACCTTCACTTTTGGTTAAAAACACACGGTAGTGGTGATAGCAGGGTTGGCTAACATTAGCAGACCTTCATGAATTACGATAATTAAATAGACCAAAATCTTTTACACCAACCGATGCCAAACACCTTTTAACATAAACCTGATTTCTGAGTGAGGACTTCTTTAAAACTGCTCTCTGTTCTTGATATTAAACTATTCAGAGCAACTAGCGTATATCAAATAAAAAAACTAGACCACCTTTTCGACCGCGCAGCTAGAGCAGCAAAGAAGCTTCAGCTGCACCTCAGAACTAAGCATCAAAAAGGAAGCAGCACGCTCGTTTTTGCCGCTTGCGGTCTGAAAACTGGACTCCATCCAGGAGAAAAGAGGAGAGGAATCAAGATCGACTCACCGCCGCCACCGTCAGCATGTCAAACACCTTGGTGCAGTACCTCCAAGCATTGGCGTTCCCATACTTTGTTTGGCATTCATCTGAAACAGAAGAGAACAGCTTCAGCATGGGAATGTTGATGTGATCCTGCTTTAATGAGCTCCTCAGTGTTTGGTACGTACCATAAAACCCATAAACCTGCGTTATTTGCCTGCTCTCATGGTTTCCTCGCAGCAGCGTGATGCGGTCAGGCCACTTGGCTTTTAAAGCTAGGAGGTAAGTAAACGTCTCCAAACTATAATAACCTCGGTCCACAAAATCTCCCTGCAGAGAGAGACGGGAAACGGTGAGAAGGAATCGACCAAAAAACCAAGACCTGCTCTGAAACCTGATTTATTCATTAAAATCTGAAAAGTGTGGCGTACATTTCTATTCTATCCACAGCATGATGCTTCCCTCTTTAGACTGTTTTATAAGCAGACTGATCTGATTGGCTCATGAACTTTGCCATTTCCTGTATCTTAAACTTTGCTTGTTAAAAACATTTAAATTCAATTCAGTTTATTTCTTTAGCGCCAATTTACAAAACATGTCATCTCAGGTCACTTTCCAGTTCACCAGATCATCCAGTCAGATTGATTCAAAGTTTTTTATCTAAGCAAAACTAGATGATTGTATCGACTCATTGATTCAAATGCAATCCCTCACAGTAAGCATGCTTGTAGGGACAGTGGAGAGGAAAAACTCCCTTATAACAGGATTTAAGGGGGACAAAATATTTGGTACCCCTAAAATATCAAAACTTCCTCTCCAAATTGATGGGCTGAGCAGCGTTCTGGGAGATGTTGACCCTGATGTTTAGATCCTAACTCTGTTTTAGACTTCTTTACAGCTTTCTCACTAACATTTCTGCTGGGTTGTTTAGTCTTTTTGATGCTGATGGTTCTTTAAAGAAAAATAAAAAATGACTGGGGGACGGACTTCTAATGTCAGCTGGTTGCACAGAATTTATGTCCGATAATATGGGTATTTGGGGGCTGAAATCAAATGTATGCCAACTTATGCAGATTTTATTCTGTCGGAAAAGTCTAAAAGTCTACAGATTCTCCTTAAAGATCACAGCTATGCATGACTTTGTGTTGTTTTTTCTAGGGATGCACGATATAATCGGCCCCCTATC